TCTTCGGACGCGTGCAAATTTAAACGAATTAAATTTCGATTGATAATACACTCGCAGCAACTTGAATTTGTGAAATTGACGATAGCTGAATCAGACTGGTGGCCTCTCTCTCTCTCTCTCTCTCTCTCTCATTTTGCATGCACGCTTTTACGACACGGCGCGCGCGACGTTGCACCGCAAATGGGTTTGTAGCACGCTAGAAATAACTACCAGCCAAATAATTTCGTTGTCATCCATATAATAGTATCGTGCGGTTCATACAGCCATTATAAAATATCGCACAGTAGGCACACGCAGTTTAGGCTACATTGAGCTTGATTTTCTTCTTTCCCGAATCGCCATTTACCTGACACGCGAATATATCTATGCACGTGCAATTACGAAACACCAAAACTCTCAAAGCCCGGACCTGGCTACTGTAAATTCTATTTATCTGCGTGCGCAATTGTATAGATTTAATAAATCACGTTAATCTGGTAAAAGCAATAATGGGCTGACTTTTGTACACCGTCACGGGTGTATTGATATTCCTGCAAAATTTGCGAGGGATGGACTGGTTTCGTGTCGATACGTTACAGTCATTTTCGAAGCGAATTGTCACTGTAGATGAGAAACGAATAATGTAGCGCGACGAAAATATCGAAAAACAGTTTCAGGAATCAGAGGCGTGAAAATTCGCTTAACAGAAATTTTAATTACGTGGAGATCGGGAATTTTTGTGTACATTATTTAGTACATTGTTTACATTAGAGATAATAAAACAAGATGGAATAGTGCTGCTGTCAAAATGTTGACAAAAGCTTGCTAATCAGAAAGATTGACACGTTTCTGGCTAAAATTTTTGATAAAACAACTATTAATAATAATTAATATATAATAATATTAGTATATAGTAATTAGTATATAATGAATATTAGTAATTATTTGACAAATGAGACAATTATTTCACAAACAAGAATTCTACTTCCTGTTTAAACTAATACGAAGAAAATAAGTTGTATATAAGTTTCGTAATGTTATAATATCAAATTCATATTATATTCAAATTGATATTACATTCGAACTTAAATCTACAGAGAATAATAATCAATTGAATATTAAATGATCTCGTTACAAAATCTTGTTACAACATTGTTAATTCATAGTAAGAAAAAAGCGTAAAATGAATAATTATCAAACGATATTACAGCAATATATATATCGTATATATATTAAAACATCAAAGGAAATAATGTAATTAATTAATACAGAATAATTTAATTTTAATGAAAATATTAAATTACAACGTAAATAGATGTAAAGGACAACCTGTTGAGTTTAAAATTCAAAATTCAATTTTGCGTTTGAAATTTATTTAACACTGAATCGTATGTATAGTAGAGAGATTATTAACATTTTTTTGTGAAACGAGAATGCATAATTATACGCTGTGGTCAGAAGCAATAATAATCAAATTTTTGTGCCGAAAAATTTTCGTAAAATGCTCGAGTAACTAGAAACGGATATTCTAAGCGCGCGAAAAGAAAAGACAGGAGAAGTAAATATCAGAGACTCTGTCGATTTATCTTCGGTAAGAAAAGGAATGTTCGAAGAGTAAATGCTGGCTGTAAATCAGCCTGCATTTTCTTCGGTCATGTGCAAAGAAAGTGTGCTTGTGATGTATGCACGACTTGCATAAAATCCCCGTTTCTGCTTATGTTATTTGCAGAACGGTAAATACACTGGATATTTCGAATAAAAGATCGACAAACTAATGGTGAAATACTGATGGAACAAACAATTCGAGTTTCCTCGTTACGATGAATTATTTGCGTTTTACCGAGAAAATCCACCTTAATTTCATCTCCTGCAAAATGTGTAAATAAAATGTTCATAGTTCATCTCCAAAATGAAATATCAGAGTTCACAACTTTTTTTTTTAGCGAAATTATCAAACTTAATTCGCATTGTTTACACGACGCAGGCGAAAAATAACTTGAAATTTGAAATTCGAGGCGAACTAAATTTGAAATCAATCTGGCCTTTAATTATTTCACTTTTACGCGTAAAATCTTTCATTGAGGAAAGTTATTTTTTAAAAAATTGTTCACTTTATTAACTCCGCTTCTGTTTTCTCAGATACTATTTCAGATGAATTCTATCGTGTTTCGGTCTTTCTTGTGTCTAATGATTTTTCGTAACGTGTAAACATGTTCGATGTAAAATGAGCTTCCGACAATTTTAATTTTAAAAAACAAACGGAACTCGCGCGGAGAGTAGATGCAATTTCATATTATATAAATGAGAAATTGTTTACTTGGTTTGCAATTTTCCATCGTATCGATTCGACGTTAAAACAAAGATTCAGCGTTGAGCTGGAGCCGAGATTTCGAACAATCAAGAGAAGCACTCTAGATGGATGAAATTCTACGGGGCCGATTGTTAGCAGCAAACCGTTGAACTTTGAACAACGATAACTGCTTTCGAACTTGTTAAATAGTTAAAACAATTCAGTTTTAACGAATGAAAAAGTAGCCTAGCCTATTGTTTCGCGCAACAGCATCGGATAATTATCGTATAAAACTTAGGTGACCCTAATCATCTACCGCCGACAAACTGTAATGTCGTTATTAACGTTGATTACAGCAGCCCCTCAAGTATTATTATATAAAGTTTCGAATTAAAAAGTAATTAGTTTCCGAAGAAAGTTATAAAATTAAATTTCCATTACATTACAGCGCAATCAAGATTAACGGCATATTTTGAACGAATATTTTACGGTCAAGGGATTGAAAAATGTGAATTCCGGCTGACATAATTATTAAGACGAGTAATTTATACGATGAGATTTACTTTTCATACTCGCAGTTATTATTTTTAAAAACTATCTTTCACCAATCTGTCTTTCATAAAAAAAAAAAAAACGGTGTAAATTGTAGTCGTTCGAAATGACTCCAGATAAATAAGTAAGATAAATACATATATAACAACGTTATATCGCGAAATCAAAAGACGATTCAATTAGCAAGCAAATGTAATTATCAAAAGTCAGAGGAAAGTGGCAGATTCTAAATAAAATAATATGACAGAAATTTCAAAATCGTGTATACGCATAAATTAAATAATGATTCAAATTCAAATTTTTCCTGAATCAACCAATTCGAAATATGCCTTTTCTGTCAATAATTTAATTATCATTTTTCTAATAGAGAACTCAAAAAAAAAAAAAAAAAATTGTCCCTGAATTCTGAGTTCAGTTTAATTTGCGAGTTAACTGCGACGTAAACGGAACAAGCACAATAGCGACAAATGACAGAGACGAAAACAGATGAGAAAAGGAAGGATGATAGGACACGATGATACCGCTTAGAAGCAGGTAACGCATCTTGCTAAGCAGCGGACCATATGCAGCGAGACCACGGATATTAACGTGATCAAGCTAACGTTATACACAACAATTTCTACACGCCGTTCTCTGTGTACGTGATTCTAGCCGAAATCTCGAAAATACACACGATTGTGTTCACCGATAACAGTGTGAAACTAGCATTTCTACGGTGCTGTAACGTACGTTACGGTATATCACAAGTTAGAATCCACGGAATAACTTTGGACAGTAATGACGGCAGCCGCGGGATTGAAACGGAATACAAGGATATCTTGTAAGCATCATTAATGAGAATTTAACGCCGCGTTAATCTAATACCGATCAATTGTTTACGTTTCACTGAGGAATTACGAGAACACGCGTGAAATCACGAGTGTTATTTATTCGAAAACAGATTAATTATAGCCGCCGTCGTTATATTTATTAGGTTCGCTGGCTCTGTAACCGCAGATTATGTAAACGTAACAACAAACGTTTATAAACGTTTAATTATAGGCACATAGATCTCGACGTTTTGTACTTTGTTTGATAATCATTTCAATTTATCGAACGGCAAGCGGCAACTGAAACCGGGCGTGAGATTTATGCGTTCGTTTAATGCGGAAATTATTTAAAACGCGGCTGTGCGCGCAATTTGAAATATTATTTGAAATATTATTTAATCAGACACGCATAGTTCTTCCGCTGCCAATAACTGGTATAAATCTTCTCGTTGGCAATGGCAATTCATTGCCGAACAATGAACCTAACCTTTTCACGAGTGTTCGCATACGAACGGAAGAAAGTTTAAGAGAATTGTACACGTAGAATTCTATGTTTGGTAAAAATAAGCTTGATGTACTTCAAAATAGATCACTCAATATGACACAAAGAACGTAGTATTTAATGGGTCGTTGACACTTATGATGTTCCTATATAAACGTTCTTTTGTCCGCCATTTTTATAAAAGAACGAAGTTAAAAGTGACGAAAAGTTCGAAATTCGAAGTGAATTTCAAGGTACTTCACGAGGTGAAAGGGGTTGATCGGTTTCCAGTAGTTTCACACTTTCGCAAATTTACAATTAGAATCGATCACATACACACACACAGGCCGCCAGTGGCGTGTTAAAAATCAACGTGTAGACAAACGATCTCTGTCAATCAGTGACAGATTATGAACCGTAGAAACGCGAACCGTTTAATCGAATCACCCGTTTAATAGACGTCACCAAAATTTCACTGCGACACAATCTGCAATCGTATCTTGTTCCGATACGACACACTGTGTGCGTAAATCCCGTTTCACGGAGCACAGTCACGTGACACATAAAACGGCGAATTTGAAGTTCGGCGAATGTAGTGCAGAATGGCAGGACAGGCAGATGAAAATTATCCACCCTGGAACGTAACATCGGCGGTGGCGACAGCCAACGGAACTCGGAACGTTTCGTTAGATTTTCTCACGCAATTAACACACTTTGTGTACGAGCTGCGACGAACAAGGAGAAACACAAGCGCGCGTACACTGGCTTCGTTTGAACGTTGTTTCGATGTTTGCCGCCACCGAGAGACCGAAAGAAAGAGAGAGAGAGAGAGAGAGAGAGAGAGAGAGAGAATTTCCACGAGGTTAGATTAATAAGTAGACGCACTCACCGGAACCGGTGGTATTATCCGTCCAAACACTCGCTGCGAACGTCGAAACCAGGAAAACCGTGGTGAAGAACCGCGAACGGTTCCCAATGGTCCCTAGAACACGCTTCACACGTTCACTAAACATCACGGTACCAAATGGACGAGAGGATACGCGGCCGGCATCCCGACTGAGGAATCGCGTTCTGCCAACCCCAAGAGCGTGTTTCTCTTTCCCCTCTCCCTTCCGCTTGCTTTCGCGCCACCCTCGCCTGCTCTCCCTACCACCAGGCTATCTTTCCCGCCACGCGCAGACGCCTCGACGCTTCGTTCCAGGCTTCCTAACTCTTGTGCTCACCCATTTTCCCACCCTATCTCCCTCTTAATCCCACTCACTTATCTCTTATCAATAGGTGACGATTAATTATCGCTATACCTCCCTGAGTCGGTGCCAACGGTTCTGCTTACTTGTTAAACGATAGAGAATCACCTGTAGAACGTTCTTTGCACTGTCCTTCCACCGTCGTATCCGTCGTCGTTTTTTTGAAATGTCCAAGTATCGAAGGATTAGCAAGTTTTATTTAGTTAGTTTATAATAGTTGAGAGTGAGCTCGCGAGAATTTTTATATTCACTCGCGCACCTCGGATGTGCACGCGCCAACAATAATATTCGTTCACGCATCATTCACGCAAATTTATTTAAATGTGACTTTTAAGCCTGCGGCAGTCTCGTCCTGAGATTTATATCTTTCGAATTTTTTCTGTTTTTTTTTTTCTTTTTTTTTTTTTTTTGACCTATAAAATGTCCTATAAAATCAAACGCAAATGTACATATGACAACAAGTCATCCTACTTGAAAACTCCATTGCTGCATCTGTAATTCTTTGCATATCTCAACCTCCTCTACCTGTTCGTTTTACTCATATTTTTTTAGAAATTACTTTTACCATCATGTACAATATTTCTAACTGTTTCATATTATTGTAACATGTGAGCGAGCGAACAAACAGTGAGAGTTATTATTGATTTCAAAGAAATTGGTCTTATACATTCGGTGATCGCGTCATTACTAATTAATCAAGGCAGAACTTGTCAGTCTCAAATAATCATTCACTCTTCTCTCTATCTATCGTTCTATCTATTACTGCCTTCTTGTTCAAAGTATTTCCTAGCGTCTTGAATTCAAAGCGGTAGGTAAATAAGTTGCAAGAATACTTCGTGATTGCCATTGCATTCATTATCACAGTCTAAATTGTCTGAACGAAATTTACGTTCTGACTAATTTTTGCATCGGCATTTATCGCTGTACAAACGTGATTACACGCTTGTACGCTGAGAAATACATAATTTATGAAAAATAAGATTCGATTTGACAAAGTGCAATTGATTGAAATATTTCAAACAATGTGCGGAATATTCATCAGTTGACAAGGAATGTCGATTATTCAATCAATGGGGACCACGGTTCACTTAATGACTAAGATTAGGGATCATCGAAGCTGCTGCTATTGTGATTACGATAGACCGTTAAGCGATATTAATCATACCTACCTAAACTGAATAGACCTATAAACGTGAAATGATGGGGATTATATATTGAACACTACCATAAGTCACGCGTATAAAATATTTATACGTATATAAGTTCATCTTCAATAAATTCATCAGTGTACTTAGATACAAAAACAAAACAAAACAATTTTCGTATGAAAAATTAAACTGATGCTAATGAAGAGAAACATGTGAACTGAATTAAATATAAATTTTGAATAATTGGAAAATACTATTCTCACAAATAACTATGAAAGTTTTCACAATAATCGTAGTTGAATTTCTGTGAAAATGGACTACAAAAAAAAAAGAGAAGTACTGAGTTATAAATAAATAAATGCAACGAAAAAGATAATTTAAATAGCACGTAGATTTCGTCCTCGAATTAAAATATTATCTCATCGAGAGCAACTTTTGCGCTAAGTGCAAAAATGTAAAGCAACTGCTTCTCCTTGGAAGCACAGTTATGCAAAGAATTTGAAACAAAAATAAATGACACGGTCTGTTTCCAAAAAAAAAAAAAATGAAAAAAAATGGCCAGCGCCGACCGCGTAAAATTTCCAACGTAACCATGTAACTACCTTTGTAGTTGGTGTTTTCCACGCCTACGCGTGGCAAAATCTCTAAGGGTGAATAATGACTCTCGGGAGGTGCGGATTACAAAATCGTGGCATATGGAAGAATGTAGAGGTATGTGGAGGATAAAGTTCTTGCAGATGCCCATACTAGAAGGCGTGTCTGAGAGACTCGAAGGCGCCAGAAGACACACTGCCATTGTAGCTTCCAACTTCTGACGATGCTGGCCCGGTCCTTTCTTCTTCTCTTTCGTTTCCTCTTCTCCTTACCCCCTGCAGACAGCGCGGGCCACGACTCTCCTCTCCTCTCCTCTCTTCTCTCGCTAACGTTCGCACACTCGCTTTTGCTGCACAACTATCGCCTGCCAGTATCACGCTAGTCCTTGAATCCTTCGAGTACGAGTGAAATTTCCTCTCTTTTTCCTTTCGTCGATTCTGAAGTCAATCGACCATGCTCAACGACGACTCGCCACCCTAAAATAGTTCGCATTCTCTCATGAACCTTTCGATTGCTTTTTCTGTGTCTGCGAAAACTTATCTCTGCGCATGCGGAACACCTGTCTCCCAAGAATTGAAATACGCTTCATGTAATCAATTTATTTTTTGATATTGTAAGTTGGATTGAATTTCTTGAAATTTTTTTTCAAATAACAGAGTCTTGAAAGGTATTAAACGGATCTAAGATGAACTAGAATTTGACAGTGTAAACTGTTAGAATTGAAATTTGAAGTAGCAGAAAAGTAGATCTGTACATGATAAAATTGAGGCGACACGTACTTACGAAAAAGTTAGTAGAAATTAATGAATTGATAAATTAAATTAAATGAACGAACGACGTACATCAATCATAATAGAAAATCTTGGCAGAAAACGATGATGCGACACAAGGAAACAGAACTTATTTCAAGAAGAGAAATATCTGTATGATGGGTTTCGAGTTTCATTTTTCTGGCAAACTATAAAAATTTAATATCTTCAGTTCGTTCGTGGGATCATATGGAAGAAATAATTGCTACAAATAATCGAAATGATTCAAAATTAAAAGATAATTTCTGAGGAAAAAAATCAGTCTGAAAGAATGTCTAAATTATTGACATTTTCACTGAATCGTTGAGAATTGTAATCGCATTCTGACCGACACAGTTTTGATTCCCAGTATAGTTTTTCATTCTAAAATATTTTCCATCGGCGTGAAAATAATTTTGCTAATTGTGCTGCCAGTAAAGCAAGAAACTGAGACACAGCGCCAAAGTATCGGAAAATAATTTGCGAAGAGCTAATTACCTACCGTGGGTGTTCTTAGACCGACGATTTTTGAGATCAATGACCATTCCATCAATTTCCTTACGTTTATGCACGAGGCAAATAATCGAATCCCCCGGGGTTCCATCGTCCTAATTATGAGTCTCTTCATAGTTGAGTAACATTTCTAGTGGCAATTAGCCGTTGTTGACAAACGCAATTTGCGACATGTAACTTTGTGGCTATACAGGCGGACAGAAGGGAACGTGCCTTGGTGCTGCGTTCCTAAATACATCGGCACCGTATCTGTCGTTGCATCCTCAGTAGAGAGCAGCATCGGTTGTTGCTTTCGAAGTAACCAAGCGTCATGTCCTCTGCATCCTTGTTTACTAACACGAAGATGCGTGCTCGTGCTCTTCCAAAGTGTTTTGATTAGGATGGAAATCACATTATAAACCTTTGTTTAACTGCGATGGCGTGAGGTTCACGAATTATCTCTTATAAATACACCTATATACGTATGTGTGCATGAGGCGATTTCGATCACGAGATTGCAACATCTTCTTATCGTATGTGCGAGACATAATCTGTTCCTAATTAATCGTAGAATATTTTAAACGAACAGGTGAAAAGATATGAGATACAGATAACATAGGGAGGAAGTATATGCGTAACATTTCAATGTTCAAAATGTTTAAAAATGTTCTTTGCGTTTAAAAAAAGCAAATGATTTTTATGAAATACGATTCTACACATCGAGACAGTGAAAGGAGCTCATGTACAAAAATGTCGTTTGAAGCTTGTTTCTCAAGCTATAAATAAATCTAAGACACGTCAGAAGTAAAAGTCAACGAATCAACCGACGAATACACTTAGATGGACATTAAACGGCAAGTAATTTTTTAATATGAGATAAAAGGTTTTGAAAACATTTGAGTAAACGCTACAAATATATAATTAAATAAATAATTAAACAGTTAACGTCAAAATAGCTTAGAAGTTTCATCAATTCATTTAAAAACTTCCTTCCATTAATTGTTAAAAATGTTAAAAAAGTTTCATCCGCCATTAGTAAATTTTCGTGGATCAAGCGACACAAATTATATTGTCCTCGAGAATTTCAAAATTTATTTCCAATTTGTCAGAATTTATAAAATTTCCACTCTCAAGTTCTTACTCACGGCCAGCATTTTCGTATTTCTCAAATCTCCGATCGATCCAAATAATTCCTTGTCAACAGTAAATGATCCTACAGCTTCCTATAGACACGAGAGCGATAATCCCGATTTCCGGAAACGTGCCTCCTCTATAGTATATATGCGATCTACCGGTTAAGTTGAGTGGGTGACATAACGAGGTTACCAAGGAATGCAAGGGCAGGCTTTCAACGGAATAGTGCCTATACCGGATGCTACGACATCACCCGTCCTTCTGTTACTCTTCCCCTTCCTCCTTCCACGCGTCGCTAGCTTCATCCTGCTCGAGTCTCGCCTCTTCCAACCTACCGTCACCAATAACGTTTCTCCTGTTTTAGCTTCAACATCGTACGCACCTGCCTTTGTACACGATGACCTGACCTCCGACCGAGCTACGATCATTCTACTAGCTCGAAACAGTAAACGTATCGTACGTGTTACGAATGTATACGATCGTCTTCGCGATACGCTCCTCCTTCTGAAGTTGTCCGACTCGTTACCCTATTTTAATTAATTGCGTTTGACAAGCAGGTGCGTACTCGTCGCGCGGCAAAGAAACATTATCTTTCGCTATCTGAATCAAAATTTTGCTGCCTAAACTAAAAGTTAGTCGTGAATTCAAGGCGTTTTAGAAAATTTGGAAATTACAACGAAAAAAAAGGGAGAACAAGTAAGAAGTAG